GCAAAACTCTTTAGATATGAATGGTCATTCCACCATAAGGAACAGTTGTTCCAATTTTGAACTTTGAATTTTTTGACCTTTGAGACGAAGTCAAGAGCGTGAAGCATTCTGAATTTGAATTATCTTGACTTTTTGACTTGAGCACACAGTTGTGCAAGCTGGTCGTGTAGGTTGGTCATGCAAGTGCCTCTCAACTTGGCAGAATGATGACCAATCATAAGGAATGATGTCGTGCAAAATTGCATGTTCATCTGGGCAACTTTCTCTTATGGAACGGTCGTGCCTTGCTTGCGCACAATTGTACCATAGTAGAAATTTTCTTTTGCACAATCATACCACCTAATATACCTGTTTTGGTTTGGTTGTGACTTATTTCATACCTTAGCATGTTATGGTTAGTGTTCAATCAACTTTTTGGATAGTTTTGGCACATCAGAACGCATGAAAGGTCAGCACAACTAGACGCACTACTTAAACCATTTAAAGAAATGACATAAAGTTCAATACTATTCTACTAGAAGTTATGGAAATTAACAAATAGAGTGTCTACTATTCAGAGCAGATAAGAGGTTCAATAAAAATAGGAAACAATATAGAACGAGAATATTAACATAATTGGCTATATTATGTGACTCTAAACAATCACTCAATGAGAAGAGATCTTTAGTCTGATTACATAAAGTGCAAACAGTTAGCTTTTATCATTCTTTACCATATTATACTTTGCATTACATGCAAGGATTGAGTTCTCTATAACTTTATTTGTTTTTTTCTTTTTTGCATTACATGCATGTTCACTATTAACCATTATAATTTCCCCAATAGTGCAAAAAACATGACAGATCATTTGTCGTCAGAACGATTAGTTTAGATCACTGCGTTGGTCTCTCAAGCACACTGCACACACCCACACTGCAATGTTTATCATTCTTAGAAATGCTTAAGTAAATAAAAGTAATCAAGGACAACAAGGATTAACAAAATATCTAGATGGATAAACAAAAGATACAGACAATATAAAGAAAATATAGACAGTAATAAAATAACTTACCTATATTTCATGGAGGCCACTTTTTTGATGTAAACGTGAATACATGTAAATGATATCAAAGGTAGGAAATAGTCCAGCACATAGCAAAGGAATAGTTAGTATGATTTTGTTATGCCTGGGAAAGTAAGGGCTGACGTGGGAGGGTCACATGGAGAATGACCTGCTCCCGTTAGAACAACAAACACACGTCAGGCCTGCCAAACGATATGGAGCTCCCACGCATCCATTTCCCTGCTGTAAACCGTGCAAAGTCAGCTTGGGAAGAAGGTGATGGGACATAAAGCCAGATTATATCCTGACAATCACACCAACCCAAGGATTTAATGATGATTACACGCTTCAGCTTGATATAAGAAGAGGAAGACCCCTTCATTAGGGGGATTCGACCATTTTTACAAAAAATCAGTCTCTCTCTCTCCTGTAAACAACCCATTTACTTTTTCCTAAACCTCTTGTAAGTCAGTCCGCTGTTGCGACCTGACCCACACTCACTATCAATACAAATCAGTGGACGTAGGACTTGCTACCTTAGCATCCGAACCACTTTAAAAACTCTCATAGCATTTATTTCTCTTTATATATTCATTTTCACGTGTGTTTATTTCGATCAATCAACGTTGCACACGTATCGGTTAGTTGGTGCCCAAAATCTCGCATCAACGGATTTAATAAAGAAGTAACATTAGTCTGTGATGTAAAAGACATATCAGAATCTAAAAGTTCATATTATTTGGTTGACAAACTCGATTACAATACTAGAACTTTCAAAGATTTTTGACAGAAACTTTGTGGAATGGCAACCCTATCGTATATGAAAATAAAAACAGATTTTCTTGGCATTAACCCATTCGTAAAATAAAACAACAATACAAAAATCACATTTTTATCCATGCTATAAACTTAAACTACAAAAAGAACAAAAAAAGACAGCTACCTCCAGAAGTGGAAACAGTCGCAAACTTAACCCTCTCTTAAACAACCTCAATGATGAACAAAGTCAAATCTTGTGACTCAACGGTCTAACTCGTGAGTTGAAATCACTTCAAAGCCTTCTGGATCACTGAAAAAACTCCGCAACAACAACCCTAAACCTTGTTGATAACAATTTTAACCAACCCAAAACTCCAAACTCGCCAACCCTAAGTCCAACTCGTTACTGTAAGTCACCATCAACACTCAAACATCGTCGAAAACAACAGCTAGAATTGCCAAAATCGGCAGAAAGCAATCGCAAACCTGGTCACATGAAAACGCAAACGTTGTTGATTCCAAAAACACAAAAATGTCAAATGACTTTTGCGTTTCCTTTTTCCTAACTAAAGTCAACTTCCCTAGCCATGTGTTGTCGTTGCAGCCCTCTGATTCCTCAAATTTTATTTTCAAATTTCAATATCAAATGTAAATTTTTAGTTGACGATTTTGCCATCACTTGCAACTGCCTTTTTACCGTCTTGCCCTTCCTCCAAACAATAATTACTAATGGATATTTGCTTTGGGTACTAAATTAATATTTTAAAAGTCTGAAGGTGAAAAAGTGTTGTTAAACCATTTTTTAGGTGGGAAAACGTCGTTTACTCGATTATGTAAGAAAAGAGGTTACTGACTCTCTAATTTAAGAATAGTTTATGTATACTTGAAACCCTATGTTGTGAATCACGGGTGAGTTAAAAGGGGTTGGTGCATTTGTCTGCTATATACTCTCACAATCTCATTCACACTCAACTCAATAATGGGAAAAGGGGAAATCATTCCTTAAATCTTTGCACAAAAATAGGACCCTTGTACATGCTGATATTAATTCCATGAGCTAGATTTGAATGGTTGGTGTTGATGCGTGATTTTGACACCAACAACTACGCACATGCAAGGTGCTAAGAAGTTACACGTGAGGTTAATTATGAGATGTGTTTATGGTGTAGTGATGATACTTGTTAGTTAGTATGTAAATAACAAGTTGACAAGAGAGAGTTTTAGAGTGGTTCGGATGCTATGAGCAAGTCCTACATCCACTATGTTTGTATTATGGTTTCTTTTGTGATCGCTAATGAAGATTACAAAGAGAACGATCTCTTAAGTGATCTCTCAAGGTTACAAGTGTTTAAAGTGTTCTTAGAGAATGATAAGTCAGTCTCTTTCTAGTAGTGTGTCTTTGCTATTTTTTTTCTATAAAACAAGTGTGTGAATACAATAATTGATCCCATTGTGAGGAGTGGAGCTGCCTATTTATATTCTTTTCAGCTCAAGATAATGAGTGTTTTTGCAAGTTGCCTTGATTTGGTAAAGATATTCCTTTCTTTTGATTCGCTGGAAGCTTTCATCCATATCCTTAAATTAAATAAAATTTCGACAGGTGGCTGCGCATAATATCTTCCTAAGTCATTTAAGAATCAGGCAACTATTATACTTTGTCTTTATACACTTGTTGAATCCTAGTTGGTTGAGATAAATGCTAATAACTTATTGGTGGAAAAGTCTGCTAAGAGCTGATTGATCGAGATGACGTCAGCATATATTTAAGGCATAACATTTGGCAATCACTAATAGTTTACCATTTCTCATCATCCTCATCTCTCCTATTTACAACTGATATAGGAATGATCCTCACCTTAATAAAATTCTAAATTTGATTCATGTACATCAATTTCAATTTGAATGATATACATTGTCAACTATCTCAGAGTGATCAAGTGGTTCAATAGGGACTCTTGGGTGTATTACTTAAGAGGTTCTTAGTTCGAATATCTCCTCAGTTACTAATAGGGATAGCCACTAAAGCTCTTATCCAGTCGATGATTTCAAGATTTCAAGAGATCAATTGAGGTGCACGTAAGTTGGTTTGGACACCCCACTCATAAAAATAATAATAATAATAATAAAAAATTCATTTTTAGAGACACTCTTTTCAAATTCTGTTAGGAGTTCTTAGAAATCCACAATAATGTGCACACGTTTATCAAGAATATCGGTCCTTAACAATCAAGTGGGAATATTAGTTTAATCATTAACTCTCAAACAATAGAATCATATTGAATAATGCTCCATATATTTTTGGGCCCGAAAGAGGGGTCACAAAATAAATGATAATCCAGGGAGTGAACTTAGTCAATACTCAATCTAGGCAGTTAAATTATTCCACTTCTTCCGAACATTAGCCAGGCTTTCAACTCTCCAGTCTCCATTGTGCACAGCTATCACTCACTCTTCCCACAGTAACAAGGGAATAGTTTTGATTTTCTTAATTTCCGGCACATTATATTTCACCATTTGTAATATCTCCACTTGCGAATATATAAATCTTATCCATAATTCCATATTGGTTCTTGGCCTTGCCCAGACGATACCACCTATTATCGAAGCAAAACTTATTATAGAGAGATAAATAATGACCAATCTTTGACCCATTAAAAAAATCTTATTATAGATAGATAAATAAAGACCAATCTTTGACCCATTGCAAAAATCGAGGGGAACGGACAGAGATTAATGAGCTGCCTAACCAAAGCTGTCCAAGCCAATTAGCCATGGCAACTTACAGTCGAAGTTAATTCTGTTGCGTTTCTTTCGTTTGTCAGTAAGGTTAATGATAAAGTTCAGTGACAGTTCTAAGTTTCAATCGATCTCTGAACTGTTGATGTGGTGGAGATGATAATTTAAGAAAATTATACATGAATTCTACCAGCATTTAATCATCAATAAGACTAGAATTCAATCATAATCAATAATATATCAAAAAAATCAACACATAAATTTTAGAATATAAAATCAATAATTAAAGATAGTAGACAAACACGTTTGTATCAAAATTTCTAATTCTTAAATTCTTTATAAAAGAAACGGTAGGTTTTTCAAAGGTGATAAAAATGTGTATCTTCCTTTCTAATAATGCACACTGAATGATGATTTACAATGGATTAAATTATTTTAAATTTCTAATATGTTTGAAAANCAATGAAACATCGAACATATTATTCTATTAAAAGGAATAATGGAAGCAACAAGAAGATTAAAGGATTATTACAATATATAACAAGAGTGGTTGGTTGTGCCTGAATTTCAATACATCAATCCTTCCATTTTATTTTTGTTGCTTCTCCAGTGACAGTACCAGCTTCTACAAGATTTCATAAATCATTTTACAAATGTGCTCCATCTTCATTGGTTTTTGCGTGACGAAACTAATTAACTATCTCTTACTTACTCTTCTTCTTCTGGTCTACCAGCCAACAAATCCCAGAAAACTGAAACCAATCGAAAACATTTGCAGATCAGGCTCAATTTATCTTGCCATATATTAATGTAAAGAAAAGAACTGTAGAGTTTATGCTTCTTTGAGGAAAATATTTCAATACTGAGATCACTTGATGTCAACAAAAACTTTTTTTCAAGAAGGTTCAAAGGAAGAATATAAAATAGAAGTTAATCATAAGAAACAGAAGACAATGAACAGTTAAAATGATGAATTTCTACAAACTTAATCCGAAATAATCTTTATCATGGAACAACAAAAGAGAATCGAGGTGTAAAGATATATGTGCATACCTGAGAGAACGAACGGCGAGGTGCTGGGAAAGAACATGGAAGAAAAAGTTGGCTCCGTGAAGGAACACCACAATTCCTGTACAACCCAGCACAAATAACTCCACCATCATTTGATCACCTCAACCAACACAAAGATCAAACCTTCAATATATAATAAGATCAGATGGTATCCCTGTACCCGTTATTATTAACTTTGGTGGGTCGATTTGATTAGAAAAAAGCTGTATATTGTATATTGTTAAGGGAGACCAGAATTTTTATACTTGCTTGGACTTATTCTCCAAGGAGGAGAATATTTGTTTCATCATATTTTAATAGCGGTGCTCATGTCAACATCCATATCCAATCTCTCGAAACAGTTTTCAACAATACTGTTCAGAGAATGAAGATATTACCACATGATTTTTGTGGGTTGATAGAGATTGATGCAGCTGAGCTGCAGGAATTGGAATCTTGGCGTGCGTGGAGACTAGAGGAGCAATACTTTAAGTTGGATTGAGGACCGACTTTACTGACTAGCGATGTTGCCTTTTATCTTCCATTCGTTTTTCCTTTTTTTCATCTTTATCATAAATAGGTAAGGATTATCCATCCACTCACTCACCGACCCGTCGTCACAACTAACTTAAGTCTTTTAAATAGTGTTTAAGCAACTACTGGTTGTGTCTTACTGGCTTTTCTTTTGTTTGGTACTGGCTTGGTTTTCACTTCTCATTATGAACAATCAACGAGAATTGACCCATAGTTGAACATTGTTTACCATGTGTGTGGCCGAAAGAGTTTCACTTACTGACTATAATATTTGTCACTGTCATCTTTAAGTGTTCGTGTCAAATTCGTCCTTTATCTTATTCTGGATGTTTGATTGATTAACGTCATTAATTGGGCTTAAAATGATCAAAAACTGGGATTTGAATAATCCAAAAATACATAGAAGAGAACCCTAAAGAGTTAACCAACGGCCAATAAAGTTTACTCTCTCTAGATTTAAACATTAAAATCACCTATCACAAATTTAATTTATGACTTATTTAGATTTATAGAATATTTAATGAATTCTGAAAATTAGTCCAAACTACACCGATAAAAATATTAAAAAACAATTCATTAAGTCGATAGTTAGAATTTTTTTCTGCTCAATAGCACCGACTGCTGTCACCATCTCACCAACTAATTAATGTTTTCCTTAAAAGGTACATTATTTTCTTTAAGCTCTTGAGTGGTAAAGAAATTAATAATATTCGCCAAATTTCATTAATTTAATGAAAACAAAAATATTAACTTATTACAATAAATAAATTTTATCCATTAGAAAAGATTTTTTCAGAATGTTGGCAGAGGAAAAAAACAGTTACCTACTTAATGGGCAAGGGTTGACATGTTCTGTAAGAATTTGACAAGCATCAAGCAATCATAACGAATGTCATTTTCCCTCAAACTAAGATAAATGATAAAATAACTTTTCAGTAATCAGACATATCTTTCAACTTATAGGAACAGCTTTCAGGAATCACATGGGGTTCTGTTGTTCCGAGAATTAAAGGAAACTGCATTATTTAAAGCAGGTGGCACTAGTTAAATCAATCACCAACTAATGCATAATCAAGTATAGGATTAAGAGGAATAAGGTACTAATTAAATCAATCCACATTGTTCTTGAATAAATAACATTCATTTTGATTTCAAAATGCTAATAATTTAATATATTATCTGAAAGGATTGTGTATTTTTTCTTCTTTTGGTCCACTTCTGCAGGTACCAACCAGGGCGAAAGGATCCATAATGACGCTATGCTGGAAAATTTGCGTTCAAAATTTTTATCTAGAAATACAACCAACACAATTAATTGAAGGTTTCAATAAATTAGAAGACCATTGTTTCTCCAGAATGTAGTACATCTCAGGTTGAGAAGGAGCTGAGGGTGGGAATATTATCAGTAAGGCATGCATTGGGTTGTTAAACAACATAAAACCATTATAATCTCTCCCAAATATTACCCCATTTATCAAGATTTTGAACAACTCATTCCATTATTTTTAAAGCAACTTACTGTTTCCATTAGTCGTTCAACAGAGTTGTGAGCACTAGATCTTGCACAAAACCAGCTCTCCCGGCAGCTTGTCTCATCCTTTTTTCCCGCTCTTCGTGACTCAAAGAGGGATCAAAACTGTAAGAAAGAGAAGAGGAGAGCAAAACAGAAAGAGAAAGGGAGGGAGAGAGAGAGAGAGACAGGTTAAAATTTAAATTTAAATTCTAAGGACAGTTGTCAAAGGTGCTCAGGAATGCATTGCGCATAAACTAAAGGATCAATGCTTGTTCATCATATAGGTTCCCGAATCACTGATTTCTTATTTGACTGAATAGTCTAGATTATCAAGCAACTGCAGAACTAGTGAGTGCTTGTAAGCTATCTAAACATGAATGGCGCTGATTGCAAACCCAAACCCATGCACCCAAAAGTTCTAAACAACAGTTGGTCAGCGACTAGACAAATTATATAATATATATAGCATAAGTCACGCAAAACATAAGTTTAACAATGAAGGACATAAGTTTCCTATCTCAATATATTTCAGAAATGTGGCAAGAAAATGTATCTGCCCAGTGTATAACAATTGAATAAGTCAATCATGTAAATTTCTCACTGAACTAAGCTTTCATCAAGTGTTTGGTTACTAAGATTCTTATTCATGGGCAAGGAGGTCAATATGTTTCTATGGAGGTCAATGGCATTCAAGGAGATCTGTGTGAGTATGTCATGTCAATGGCATCCACGAAGTGGTCACCATAGTTGTGCCATACTTACCCATATTAAATGGATCTTAAATCAAATGATAAAAGAATTAAAAGATGTTAAAATGCTTTTGATCTCTTTGTTGCCTTGATGATTAGAAGCTGGATGGATATACTTGATGACCATCCTTGGAGCACCTGTTATATAGCAAGAACAAGGGTTAAAAAGTAGTACCTTGATTTCCAGATATGTGTTGGTGCTGGATTCTTTGCAGCAGTGTCCTCAGCACTTGTTACAACAGATTTTGAAATTTCCTCTACTTCAGATGAAGGGAAATTCAAAATAAGTGATGAAAGGAAAGGATCAGTTGCCGCGTTAGACACATTCGTATTGTTTGACCGATATCCACCACCCCCTAAAAGCACTTGAAGATGAGCTTCCCTGAGATCTCGGCCCAGAAGAGACAATGCTTGACTGCTAGGAATTGCAACTCTACGTAATCTACGACGTCTCTGTAAGTAATCTTCAGTTAAAGAGAACTGAAAAAGGAATTAAGTTTCATCCATAAATATATCCAGACATTGTTACACATAATTCTTCAAAATCATAAAAAGAAACACGAATTCATGGAAGTTTCCATTGTAAAGGATATCTTGAATAGGTGTCCATGTTGCAGAGTAATATGACTTAACATGTCCCTTGCAACTTTAACAGAGCAAATAGGGCATACCTGCATGAGAAACATAGATACGGTATGAGACTCTTTCACCATGAAACCATCAATCAGGACTGGAAAATAGTCAAACATATTATCCTCCATCAAACTGATAGTTTTTGAAACAATAAAGATAAGAGAAAAATTAAGGCGATCTCTTGTTTTCTTTCCCAAAAGATTTTTTCATCTGCATACATGAACTAAAAGCTATATAGAAGAAAAGAAACCTAATTCTCATTAAGTTAAAATAAGTATCAAAAAGAGAATGACACTTAATGGTGAATAATCTTTCAAACCTATGCCTGCTGCCCTTTTCAAAAAACAAATCTCTATAGTTATTCAATACAAAAGGATAAAACCTCAACTTGAAAGCATCCACTTCAATAATTTAAATTTATCCTTCTCTAAAAAGCGCCTAAGAAATATATCTTATCTCAACAAGTCTCCCACTACTCTTGAGATCATCCTAAACAGGCTTGAGCATAATAAATATAAAGGGGTCTGAAAAGACAGATGAAAGGCAGACGGTGATATTATTAGAGCTATACCAACATGCCCAGAAAATTGTATTGAGCAAGGCCATTCGATACTCCTGCCCACTGTGACCATAAAAAATAAGGACCCTCTGTTTTCAAAAAAAGAAAGAGGTAGTGCTCAAGAGTCAAGACTCTTATCTATCTTTTCAATAAGGACCATTCACCTCATTGCGTTCACATGATATATAAGTGAGTTACAATTGCTTTTCTTCTGCATGAATCAGTATAGACTAAAAGGCATACACTCATACGAAGTCTGTTAGATCACCTTATGCAACATCTAGTAATTGTTGATGACATCTTTGATATGCATTTTCAAACACAACTCCTCCAATTACTTTCGTTCTTAAAGAGCCCCATGTATGCTATCTTAAAATTAGATCTTCCATATCACGTGCTTCCTTTAAGAGCCCTCTTTTATTTCCATCATTGATCTGAGTGGCTTGAGCAGCCTGCAGTATTCTCATACATTCTGGAAAGCTAAAACTTCTTCATTCATAGTTCACATTACTCGTTTTATTATTTTATTTCATCAATGAGACATAAAGGAAAAGTCGCAACTCAATTACAACTGTGGAGGTTATATATCTTCCACATCAAAATACAAGATTAGAACAATTCTGCCAACAATTTGAGATGGTATTCTGCGGTGCATTTCCAACTCCAAGGACTGTTTAATAAAACAAATAAGGCACCACAGAAGACAACCTAATCTCATTTATGATTTTGTTCTTCATCATCACAGTATGATATAGCAAATCGAACTTTTGCTCTTTCTCCACTACTCCATTATGCACAAATGAAAAACAACCATTATTTATCCCGAAAAAGGAAAAGAAATAAGAACAAGGATCCATTCAGCTAGGACATATTATATATAACCATAGAAACAAATCATTGGTTCTAGTCTCCAGCTATAAACAGAAAATAAAAAATTTCAGGAAGAAAATAAAAAATTTCAGGAAAACATCTGCAAGAATGAACTATCAAATACCCCCTTAACGCTGAGGGTGAAAAGGGGGGGGGGGGGGGGGGGGGTGTAGTGGGTTTGGTTGGTGAGCCGCCGAGAAGTCGGAAAAGTGGATAGTGGGGCAATTTCGTCACCAAAAAGTGCCAAAAAGGGTCGGGACGACTGGCGAATGGCAGCTAGTGCGAAGGGGTGTATGGGTTTTGATGAGGTAGGGGATGAAGCCGCGGTAATGGAGGGAAAAGAGAGATGGATGAGGAGGTGTGGGAGAAGAATGGGGAGAGGAGGCGGAGATAGGAAATGGGAAGGAAGAATAAGAAGATGGGGAGAGGCAGGAAGAAAATAATATTGTTATAATAAATTACCATTTTAACCATTTTACTGTTATATAATGAAAATGGTGTTCTTAGGTGAGTATTTGGAATAAATAAACCAAGGTATTAACTTGGGATTTGCTACCTCGGGTGGGAATAATGTCCTTTACTCAAAAAAAATGGGGTTTTAAATAGAAATAATCATCTTGTAATTATCACTCATGAAATTAGTAAAATATTATTATGAGACTTTCTAATCAATGGAAAGTCATGTAATGCCTGGAAAATGATAGCACCTTGTGTTTTTTTGTACAATAATGATGAGTAAGATTGTTGCAGAAGATGATATATCCTCACATTTCTATGCAATTTCATCAACTTTGTTGATGCCTATAACTTTCATCTTAATTACCTCTTATTAGATGATAAAGTTTGAGTGAATTTGTTCCAATTCTCGTAAAGAATACGAAAAATCATTTCAGTAAGTCACTATTTTAACAACAAATTAGGTCATCTTGTCAGAATACATACATCTTTATACAAATCATCATGATCAATAACATTACAATCTAATATTACCTTCATGTTAAATATGTTTGGTTAATGACATTAACATAACAATCCACCCATGGTAGCCTAGCATAAGGACGAACCAAGGGGTTATCTGGACTTCAACTTACAGTTTTGTTTGGATTTCTCACTGGCTTGATGTATTTTCAATTACTCACCTAAAAAAATTGAAATTTCAACTTCAACAACCCAAGTGCAGCTCATATATATCAACTCTCTGTTTTCATTTATTCACTTGTCATTCTTTTGAAGAACTGATCACCAAACAATCCAATTACCATCTTCACATCTCTTGATTTTCGCTTTCATAAATTCTCACTGCCGCAATGTACCATCGAACATATTACTTCTATTAAAGTATAATGGAAGCAACAAGAGATTAAAAGGATTATTACAATATATACAGAGTGGTTGGCTGTGCTGATATTATACATCAATCCTTCCATTTTATTTTTGTTGCTTCTCCATGCAGTACCAGCTTCACAAGATTTCAAATCATTTTACAAATGTGCTCCATCTTCATTGGTTTTTGCGTGACGAAACTAATTAATTATCTCTTACTTACTCTTCTTCTTCTGGTCTACCACCAACAAATCCCGAAAAACTGATACCAATCGAAACATTTGCAGATCAGCTCAATTTATCTTGCCATTATTATGTAAAGAAAAGAACTGTAGAGTTTATGCTTCTTTAGGAAAATATTTCAAGACGAGATCACTTGATGTCAACAAAAACTTTTTTTTCAATAAAGTTCAAGGAAGAATATAAAATAGAAGTTAATCATAAGAACAGAAGACAATGAACAGTTAAAATGAATTTCTACAAACTTAATCCGAAATAATCTTTATCATGGAACAACAAGAGAATCGAGGTGTAAAGATATATGTGCATACCTGAGAGAACGAACGGCGAGTGCTGGGAAAGAACTGGAAAAAAAGTTGGCTCCGTGAGAGGAACACCCCAATCCTGTACAACCCAGCACAAATACTCCACCATCATTTGATCACCTCAACCACACAAAGATCAAACCTTCAATATATAATAAGATCAGATGGTATCCCTGTACCCGTTATTATTAACTTTGGTGGGTCGATTTGATTAGAAAAAAGCTGTATATTGTATATTGTTAGGAGACCAGAATTTTTATACTTGCTTGGACTTATTCTCCAAGGAGGAATATTTGTTTCATCTATTTTAATAGCGGTGCTCATCAACTCCATATCCAATTCTCGAAACAGTTTTCAACAATACTGTTCAGAGAATGAAGATATTACCCATGATTTTTGTGGGTTGATAGAGATTGATGCAGCTGAGCTGTAGGAATTGGAATCTTGGCGTGCGTGGAGACTAGAGGAGCAATTTTTAAGTTGGATTGAGGGCCGACTTTACTGACTAGCGATGTTGCCTTTTATCTCCCATTCTTTTTCCTTCTTTTCATCTTTCATATAAAGGTAGGATTATCCATCCACTCACTCACCGACCCGCCGTCACAACTAACTTAAGTCTTTTAAATAGTGTTTAAGCAACTACTGGTTGTGTCTGGGCTTTTCTTTTGTTTGGTACTGCTTTTTTCACTTCTCATTATGAACAATCAACGAGAATTGACCCATAGTTGAACATTGTTTGCCATCTGTGTGGCCGAAAGTGTTTCACTTACTGACCATAATTTTGTCACTGTCATCTTTAAGTGTTCGTGTCAAATTCGTCCTTTATCATTATTCGATGTTTGATTGATTAACGTATTAATTGGGCTTAAAATGATCAAAAACTGGGATTTGAATAATCCAAAAATACATCGAAGAGAACCCTAAGAGTTACCAACGGCTAATAAAGTTTACTCTCTTAATTTAAACATTAAAATCACCACTATCACAAATTTAATTTATGACTTATTTAATTTAAGAAAATTTAATGAATTCTGAAAATTATCCAAACATACACTCAGTATAGTTAATTTTTTTCTGCTCAATAGCACCGACGCTGTCACCATCTCACCAGCTAATTAATGTTTTCCTTAAAAGGTACATTATTTTCTTTAAGCTCTTGAGTGGTAAAGAAATTATATATTCGCCAAATTTCATTAATTTAATGAAAAAAATATTAACTTATTACAATAATAATTTTATCCATTAGAAAGATTTTTTCAGAATTGTTGGCAGAGGAAAAAAACAGTTACCTACTTAATGGGCAAGGGTTGACATGTTTCTGTAAGAATTTGACAAGCATCAAGCAATCATAACGAATGCATTTTCCCTCAAACTAAGATAAATGATAAAATAACTTTCAGTAATCACATATCTTCAACTTATAGAACAGTTTCATGAATCAATGGAGGTTCTGTTTTCCGAGAATTAAAGAAACTGCATTATTTAAAGCAGTGGCACTATTAACTCATCACCACTAATGCATAATCAAGTAAGTGGATTAAGAGAATAGGTACTAATACAATCACAAATTGTCTTGACATAATCACATTCTTTTGTTTCAAAATGCTAATAACTTTAATATATTATCTGAAAGGATTGTGTATTTTTTCTTCTTTTTGGTCCACTTCTGCAGGTACCAACCAGGCGAAAGGACCATAATGAGCTATGCTGGAAAATTTGCGTTCAATTTTTATCTAAAATACAACCACACAATTAATTGAAGTGTTTCAATAAATTAGAAACCATTGTTTCTCCGAATGTAGTACATCTCAGGTTGAGAAGGACTGAGGGTGGGAATATTATCAGT